TGAAATTGAAAGATAAATATAATTCGAATTATTAATTTCATAAATTTCAATGTAATATGTGCTCATTTTGTATTTGTCCCTTTCATAATTCCCAATGTGAAATGGTAATCGTGTCTTTATTTTCATTTAAACGAACTTGTAAATCAACGGAACCGTAATCCTCTAAAAGGGGATAATATCTTTATCCCCTCGTTAAATTTAATCACCCAAATTCTAGAAACACGGGGATCGAATAAAGTGTGTTAGGCGGTGGCGTGGCGTGTCATGATCGTAATGGTCCGCGGTGGCAATGGTGGCCTCCGTCGATGCTGAACCGTGAAATTAACCCGAGCACATTTCCCCAAGGTACACGCGATGTAAAACAAAACCCACGCCCAGTTTCATTTCCCTTATACTTTGCCTACAGCAGATACGAGTGCCATAAAATTGCCATTTCTTCATAACTATTTATATATATAAATTTCCTATCGTTTCTTATATAATTCATACGATATCTTTTCTTTACTTTATTGATAATTCAATAGTGATACCATTATCCTTGTATTACACACATTTTCTTCGATACAGTTGCAGATACAAGACTTGATAAAAACGTACGAAATTTCAAGTCAATTGAATTATTTCCATGTTCACTATTTAGTGTATAAAAATAATAGAAACGAGATAGAATATAATAAAAAAGGGTAAACCTTTTATTTTCATCTTTTCGTAATTTTCCCTCCTTCGAAAGCTTTCGTATCATCAGAGCCATCTGTCGGCAAATTTCTAATTCTTGAAAGAAGGGGGCGCAAAAGCGCAACAACCGGGAATTTCCTTCCTTTCGTCGCCCACATCCTTTCCAGTCCTTGGTTCAGAAATAATTCCACGTTTGATAACGTTGTGTGCACACACAGTCGCGTAAATACCTATAAATAAACAGGATGTTCGGTGTTCCACGGTGCAAGTGTGTCCATGTACGAAGGTTAATGATTAGTGTGAACGCAAACCGCGCCCAGGGCCCGGTTTCAGCATTTCGTATTCCTCTTCCGGAGGGGAGAGACCTGCAAATGGAATATGCTGTCAGTGCAGGCCAAACGAAAGAACGATCGTTAGCTGGATCTACCAAAATTGCGTAAATTTACAGTTTACAACGGTTGGATATCGTTTGAATAGACTGGGGCCAAACGGAGTCTGGAATATGTTAAATACCTTGGATCATTCCGTTTGCTTTTGAAAAGTTTTAGCGGTTATTCTAACCGCAATTTCGGATATTCAAAGCTTTGTTGTGCTACGTTGAAACGAATTGTTCGAAACAAAGAACAATTCTTTCGTATATCGTAATTTAAAATATCTTGATACAGATATTTGTATTTTAAACGGAGATTATTTATGAAATTATATAATTAATTTAAACAGATTTATTAGCATGTTGATATATTCACACTTTTTGAGGATCGAATTTCTAGGAAAGTCAAAGTTGGTTTACAAAATATATACGTATAAAATAAAATGAAACGTGTCTGAAAACGTGGAATAGCTTTGAATGACGAATTTTATACATTAAAACGATGAAAAAAGTTCAGACACGCATATATCTATTAAAATTATTATAACTTAGTTAGAAAATTTAAATTAGTAGTGGATAAAGCGAATCGAGAGCAGAGTGCGACAAAATAAGGAAGATGGAGCGATCTCATTCTATTTCCATCTCGCTTTATCTAACGTGAACTTGTAATTAATTAAAACACACGCTCGTATAAACTTTTGTTATCGTTTTGATATCAAGAAGAATAATATATTAACAATGCGTATACTTTCGTAATTAGCCCCCAATCTTATTTTGGATTCAAATCTTGTTTCGTTTTTACTCGTTTCCTTATTCATCTCGTTGGCCAATAAAAATTAACTCGAAACTTTCTTTCTTTGTCGTCTGTCTGTCTGTGATTATTTTAGATGCAGAAATGGAATTCTTCGGCCAAAGCAAAGTGTCCAGGCCGGGTAATTAGGAAGATACGTCAACTCGTTACGTTGTTTAATGCAATCTGTGTTCCCTCGAAACTCAGGACAAACAGGTGCCCCATGAGTGGCTCGTGCTCCAAGAGCCAGAAATGTTTTACACCACGGCCGCAAGAATGTGACCCACGGGAAATGCTGTAAAGGGAATTAATTCCCGTCCACTGACTAATTAAGATGTATAATCGTGTGCAATGCGCGTTACACAGGCAATTCAGTTTTACTAATCAACGAGGCAAGTGTTTACATTAAGGATGGCGTTCGACCATTGCACGCAATTAATATTTCCAGTCTCGGCACCAGATTTCTCTCTAATCAAAGGTGTATGTATAATAATTTTAACGATGTATAATAATTTTAATAATATATCTCGTTAGATTGATCGAATCAGTCTAATCTAAAAATAAAACTTGGATTTTAAATTTATCCTTCTTTAATGAATGATTTACGAGAATAATATTTCCTATTAGCATTAAGTCCATTAAATTCAAAGATTAAAAGAGTACAATTATCGCTATAAATTATTGTAAAATTATTTTCATACGTAGGATAAAATCGTGCGTTGAGGATTTATATTTTCTTCAAGATCGTATTTTAATATTCAAGTTGTCATCGTCGAAATGAAATTCATTCAAGTGTACACAGTTGCATAAACGAGATTATGTTTGAATGATTGGACGACAATAGATGGAGGTACGTTCTTACGATAGAATTCGCGTGATTAACAATACCGGTCCTGGAAACTGTAGCACTATGTCATTCTGCCTCTGCGTACATATAATTATTCACTGGTCGTCTCTGAAACGGTGAACTGAAGATTACACGTCGTCTATCAATTTTGGACGTCGTGGGAGGCGTTATTGGCGCATTTCCGCATTGTAGATCCTCCACGTTCCTCTACGTTAATTACGGGCGATACCCGTGTCTCTCTTATCTTCTCTCTCCGAGCCCTTAAAACATTATTCTTCTTTAGGAAGATTCGTGAAACTTTTAAAAAAACATTATTCACACACGATGATGTTAATTACAATTCCTTTCCTCTTTTTCGAATTCAATATTATTATTATCTTTGAAAAAAATTTGACGATTGAAAACAATGTTCGATATTAATTTTCAACAAACGATTGCAATTTTTGTCACGATAATAATGAAAAGTTAAGACGATAAATTTTTCCAAATCATTGAAAATTATCGAATGTTAATCGCATTAACGTGACTCGATGCACTTTACTCGTCGTAAGTTTGGCGCAATTACGAATGAAACGTCGAAACAGGAATACTATTATTTCTTGGTAATCACAAGTTGGTAATCACAACCTGTCTACCGGGTTTACGCGCGACTGTCACGTATGAGTTGCCATTGTTACGTATGATTATTCACGAAGACGCATCCATACCGGAGAACAGCAATGTCTGTCTGGTGTGTCTGACCTGTCTCAGTTGGCGAACGTAGGACGAGATTGCCAGGCGTCCTCCTCCTTCCACTATTCTAATGTAGGAAACACAGTGTTTCGTGTGGTAATATCACTACGTTCGCGTGTGATATCTACGAAAAATTTTCTGAAACTTTATTCGATGATTTTCCGCATAAGGAAGAAGAAGAAGAAAGAGGAGGAGGAGAAAAGAACTTAGAAAAAGCGGAAGAAACAGTGAAACTGTTGTAATTTTACGTGTCGTTTCATTGTATCCATCCATGTTTTCCATTTTAGACTTTCTCTGCGTGTAGAGCATGCAACAGACGTAAGAATACTTTTTCAATTTCGCGAACAAGTTGTGAAACGTGGAAAATTTGGGCAACGTTTGTTTCACGTTTTGATTTGAAAACACGGGAAAAATGTGTAACAGCTATTGTCAGGGATTTTACATGCTATACCATAGTTTTGAGGTTTTCGTTTATAGAAATCCTTGAAACAGAGAAACAGAGAATAAATTTTTTATTTTTTCCCCTCTTCTTCTTGTTGATTAAAGCAACTTGAATTAGGTTTAATTGAACAAATTATATTCTTATGTCGTTCAAAATATTAAACTTCACGTGAATCTACGCTAGCTTCAGTTAATTCAATTGCTAAGAAAAGTCGCGTTGAAAAATATAAATTAATGTAAAATGTAAATTAAAAATGTAAAATTTCAATCAAAAAACCAATTGGATTTTTTTTGCTTGTTCATACTTGTTTTAAGATATAGCATATTAAAATTGGATGGATGTCAAGTAAATTCTAAATCAGTCGTGCAATTTTCAGATGTATAAAATTTAAATTCATATTTTGATATCTTATTCTTAGAACTGTGTAAAACTTTCAATATTCAAATTCAAAAAACTTTTAATATTCAAATTCCTTTATCGAAATTGGATATTATTATCGAATATTATTTGTCGAGAAAAAGTCTTGAAAGCAAAGTTGAAGCGACTGCTTAATTTTTCAACGTGAGATATAATAAAAGAGAAAAGACACGATGTTAAAGAGTTAGAAACATTGTCTTCTTCTTCATATTCTCATCAACACACACCTGTAATTTAATTATTTTATTTAAAAAACGCGCATACATCGACAAAGTAAAAGAATGATTTCTCTGTTTTGTGCATAGGTGTACGAAATGTTCGTGGCTGGTTACCAATTCAAGGTCCTTTCCCCGGTTTTCACGGGTCACTGGGGTCTGCAGACCAGGAAGACGAGGCCGGCTTGGCGCGAACGGCAGAACAGCGCCAACAGGAAACACTTCGAGACGTTCAAGAAAGAGGTTTTCGCCCGTTACATGCGCGACCCCTTAAAGATGATGAAGAACGCCCACTGACGAAAAGTTCGTCGAAGATTTCGTTGACTTTTCACGAGATCTTGATCGCCGTCCTTCTTCACACTCGTCGCGCGAGCCACTCATCGAACGTGATGCCGATCCAACGTGATCGTCCCAAAAATGGTGGTGTGTGGCCTCTGATTTCTTCTACCTGACACGTTTGTGCCATAACGTTTAAAAAAAAAAAAAAAAAAAAACGTTTGTAAACGGGCGATACGAAAATTCGAACGTATCGTCGACGGTCTAATCGATTGACTGTTCTATTTTTCACACCGTCGAATCGAAGACCAGATCGTTTTCTATATATATATTTTGTATTTCGTGTCGCGAACGATCTACATATGTCAGATTACAGCATTAAATATTTGAAGTTGAACAACGGTTTCAAGGGTTTTTTCGCGTTTATTTATAAACACATAGCGATTTTCGAATCGTTTATCTCATACCTGAAAAATCGATCCATTGTTGCGTTTGATCCCGCTTTACCGATCTTTCGCAACGTTTGAAAAATGTTTCACCCGCTTTAAAGTGAAGAAAATGATGGTTAATGTGCCGGCTAATGGTCGTTACTCAAACCGACTTTATCAGCTGCTATATCTTTTCCACGTCGCAAGATCCCCTTGATAGCCCGGCGATAATGACATTTATCTGTCATTATCGATAAAATAATCAATTACTTCGTGACCACCCTCTATCCACGCCTGTCCAAGAGTTTCGATGCTAATGATTTCGCTCCTTAAATTTAACATTTATGAATTTATTATTAAATAACGGTGATTAAATGATAAGCAACCAAGATGGCCGATTTAACCAAAGTTCGATATGCAAATCGTTCGCACGTTACATTACACACGTAAAGAGGAAACTTCTTGCATGGATGGATGCCGAGGTCCATAGCCCTCAAGCCCTCGCTCGGTATTTTCCTGCTTCAACTCCGCTAATATCCGTCCCGGTCAATCGGTGACATATCACGTGTATGTAGATCGTCTCAATATCTCACATATCTTTTACCTTAGTCGAGGAGGAGAAACACTTCGATGTAACAGAGGACACTGTAAACACGAAACGTCAAGTTTATGGGTCGAGCGTTAACTTCTATATCCATGTGCACACTCATCGTACAAACTTGGTTTCAGGTAAGAATGAAATAATTTTGGATCAAACTGAAAGGTTTGGTTTATTCGATTCATATATCAAAACCAGAGACACGATAGTCCATAATAGGCCTATAAAGGTGTCTTAAATCGGCGCCATTTTGGAGTTTTATATAATGGATATTGAGAAATTTCGCGATGTGAGAATTGTAATTTATTATATATCAACATTGAAACGTTAATTTTATTCAAATCTCGAGTAATTAATACGTTAGTTGCGTTAATGCTGCATAGGTGTTTTCGATAATGTCAATTTTCTATCGTCAATAGAATAATATTATTAGCAGTGAAAGTATTTATCAATTCTTATCAACCAGAGAACCAAATCCATTTCCATAATCCTATAAACACAAAGGGAGGGAAAAATGCACGGACGGAGAATTATTTTTCGAGCCATTATTCGAATTATTCGAAACACGTTGTATCATATACAATATTTAAAAAAAAGTATCAATTAACGTATCGAAAATATTCACGATAGCATTGATCGATATTTGCAAAACGAGTCGATGAGAGGAAATTTATATGAAAGAAATGAAAGGGAGGAAGAAGAATGAAAAGAGAGGAGTTGTTGGCAGTGTGGAAGAGAGGCAGCAAAAGATCACGGCAATCAAGTGGCCGTGATCAACGTCGAGGATGGTTTACTCGTAGTTCCGCTTCATTCCGTTCACCTTAAACGAAACTAATAAGCCCGTTTTCCACTCACGGATCACCAAAGTCATCAGGGACTTGCCATGCGGGGATAGAGGAATAAATATATCTGCCGGTGAGTTTCTGCGGCACGTACACGGTGCACGAAAACAGGGAAACGAGGTCGGTGGAACTTAAACTGAACATGGTATACCTCGTTAACTGTCTGTAATTTAAGAGACTTTTTTTTTTTTTTT